ATAACAACTGTGCATTTAATAGTCCTTTACCCCAGCTAGATTTACCCCATCTGGATATTTGAGACCTGAGCACATTTGCACCATTGTGCACCTACAACACTTGGTATATCGGCGATTACCTCAATTGCTGTCAACATTGGCTCGTTCACGCTTCCATTGTTCTCACGACGAGTATTTCGCGTTTGAAAAATATTTTCTGAGTGTTCAGTTATACTATTTAAATTAAATAATATAGCCGAATAAGTCGGTGAAAATTGCCCCCAAACCAAATCAATAATCGCGATGCTCATATGAGAGAGAATAAAAGATGCCCTAGATTCCCAAACATTTAGCCTCCGAGGGCCATCTGTTGCAGAGATACGAAAACGTGTTTTTCGTTTTATTATTTTTTCTCAGCTTCTATTGCATGTATCAGACTGAAAAAAATTGCAGTCGCGGGGAAGTAGTTGAGTTTGAAGATATTTTTGTCAACTAATTTGACGCCAAATTCAAATAGAAAAAATAATTAAATATTTGAAATTGATTTCCGACGTGATAACGTTGGAGTACTTTCCCCCTCCTAGAATGTCTCTTATAATGTTATATAACATATATTTCTTCAGATTTTTAAACAATGTGGACAATAGTGAAAACAAATTAAAAACTTATATTAGTTTTAAAATTTGAAATTCGCGCCAAAATGTGGATGGAAAAAACGTATTTTTCCAATATTTAAACACAGATTCCAACACGACATATGAACTCGAAATATTATTGGTATTACATCGATTATGTACTAAAATCAATCGGAATATCCATGGTGGAAAGAGATGGGTGGGCTCTTGCGCATCCGACTTCAGCCAATAAGCTTCAGGCACCAATTTGCGTCGTAGTATTCGCGGGAATTTTAAATGCCAAAATGCAGTTAGTCACTGAAACAAACAAATAAGCTTTTTTTAGAATAGTGAATCTTTTAGTTCAATTACACCTATATCGTGTTATTTTTTGTTAGTAACCGTTGAAATTCACTTTATTCCACTTTCAAAATGTTTCTCAACACTTCTTGCTCTCTATACAACATGGCGGCCAATGTCTGGTCTCGCTTTTCAACCGAAGTGCCGGTGTTGTGGTCACGTGGTTTGTGACGGAAACTGGTGCTGTGCAGAACGAGCAAAAATCGGTACATCGGTATTCATAATTGACGTGCCCGGAAACACGAAATACTCACTTACTCAAGAATTCATCACCTCAGTTTCATTCTCCCAGCCAATGCCGAAATATTCCTTTTCATATACATCACTAGATTTAATTGGTAACAAACTGTATCTTTGATAAAAACATTTAGAATTGTTTGATTTAGTAACAAAGTAGTGAACCATTTCGTTTTCTATGCACCACGGTTGGTACTTTGATTCCAAACCCTCTGGCCAGAATTTCTCGCGTTTGGAAATAACCCTTAGGGCATAAAATCTTCTTATCGCCTGTGTTACATAATTGACTATTGTATCATAGCTGGTCGTGCGTTAAATCTCAACTAGCTTCCAGGGATCGACTTAGCCATTCTTAAAGTATATAGTTTGAGTAAAAAAATTCAGGGTCGACGAAAGGTAAAAATATAGTCTCCTCACCATTGGTTGCTTATTTTATTGTAATTATTAGTTCAGAATTGTACTTTTGACATTGTAGATCTTTGAACACTTTCTTATAGGCCATGTCAAACCTGCCTAATGGTTGCTCTTCATCCTAGTTTGTCAAATTTATTAAAAAGCCTTTTGATCCTATCTAACACTTTTTTCAATTTTTGGTGTTGAAAAATAACATTTTGTGGTGTTAATTGTTGTTTCGGTGTGTTTATGATAAGTGAATCTAAACACATTTGACAGCATATGATGATTGTCCATAATATTATGAGTATTTTCCTGTGATGATTTCCATTGTTTAACATACCAAAGAAGTAGCATCGTGGCTTTTTCTGAACTAGACATGAAAAGATATAATTTTTTACCGGTAAATACTGTTTATGGGTACTCGTGACACAACCAGTTCAACAGAGTTATTCTGATGATGTTTTATGAGTAGATCTCGGAATTTTAGGTACAAAAAAGTGATGATTTAGGCACCACACAGCAAAAGTATAAAATTAGGAACTATTAAGCAGGAAAAACGAATCACTTAAAATAGGTGACAAATGATTAAACAAAGCATTTAAAAAACGTTAGTCATGAAAAATTATATTTTTGGCATCTAAATTTGATCACAAAATGATTAAATAAGGCATTTGTTTTATTTTTCAGGAAAGTCAGGTATTTTTACGATTATGAGAGTGACTACAAGCGTATTATTTTATTCACTTTCATTTATTTTCATTTCAATCATTCTTTCCGACTTTTTTATTCTCAACCTGTCAACAGCACAACTGCACTAGAAATGGGTGCAATTGCCTAAGAAGTGCTTGATAATCGGAGACGAGTGTGAAACATTTTTGTTCTATTGACTTGCAGAGCTACTTATGTTCGATGTGTTGGGAGAGAGATTTATGTGCGTAGTCGATTGCGTATTCGTTCAGAGAACACGTTTCGAGAAATTCGGGAAAGAATTTGCGTTTCGGTAAAAAATAGTTATTAAAATATAATCATCAAAGTTACTTGTTTTAGACAGATTTAGAAAGATAATATTAAAATAATCATCAACCGCCGTTTTAGGACATTTTAGACACTATTAGATACTTTCAGTTTATGTAGTTTTTTATGATTAGTAAAAATCCGCAATTATTTTCCACAATGTTCTAATTGAACTAAATAGGCATTTGTCCTAAACACCGTGGTCTATTTCTGAGTTTTAATCCCACAAGATAGCAGCGATGAAGACGATGAAATGGATACTAATATTTTGAAGGATGTAGCTGAAATTAGGATGAAACATATATGTAATAATTTTGATGTTAACAACTTTGTGTTGGTTCACATTTAAAGCAGAAAATCAATGCCGATTACACCGGAGAAATTATAGATATTGTTAATGTAGCGTCTGAATATCAAGTGACCTCACTTGATACCCTAAAAAAGGCTTAAGAAAACAAATTTCTTGCAAGGAAATACTTGACGCTAGCCGACATCCTGCAAGGAAATATTTGACGTTTTGAATCTGAAACTTGGTAGCTATGAAACTACCAAAACCATTGAAAATGGTACCTCCCTTCAACTGTGTGAAATAAGTGTTTGATGTATGCAACCTAAAGGTTTTTCTTAAAAAATAAGAAGTTAAGTTGTTGGTTGATACTTACTTTGGGATCCCAGAAACTTTATTTTTATAAAACTTAAGTGTTTAATGATCTGAAGGGAATCATTCTCCTTTGGTATGTTTTGAATTCTCTCTTCATTATTATTATTATTATATTATTATTATTATTATTATTATTATTATTATTATTATTATTATTATTTGTTAATTCAAAATATCTCTAATTTCAATAAGTTCATTAAAATATAAGATAAATCATTTTCTCCAAAGGAATATGCGATCCAAAAAAGTTGGTAGAACCTGTTTTATTTTTCAATTTAGCGTCCGCTAACATTTGGTCAGCTGTAACTCTGTCATCCAATCGGGATGTCAACGTCACAACTGACAAAAGTGTCAACGGTCTTCATGTTTAATCGAAGTATAAAAGATAAGTAGTAAACCACACATTTCTGAAGTTTACTAATTTTATTTTTAGAACATTCGCTTGTTTTGGTATAGCTAGCACCCCATCCTTGGTATTTAATTTATTCACTACATGACAAATCTTATTATTGTTCCTTGTATGTGACAAAATCGTTGCTCTGTAGTGGAGAGTGGGACTCATTTCGGCGTGGGAAATATTGTGTCACCAAAAAGTCTTCATAAGAAGAAAACTTGTGCGAGATGAAAGCTATTGGAAACAGTTCCTTTGATTTGTGGATCCATTTCTGCCTTAAAATATTTTCTAATTGGAGATCTGTGGATCTGCTTATAGATGTTTGGTAAATTTGGTTATTTTAAATTGGTAAGTGGATTTCTTAATCTTCGTAATTTAAATGGTAACTTTCAATACATTATGAATACAGTAAGTACACCATTAAACATTTATTTAGTGTTTTAATCTGCTTTCTAAACCCAACCTGGTTTGTTTTGTTAATACTTTTAGTTGCAGCAGGCATATGGGACAGTGTCCTAAACTGCCCACTTTCTACGTATAAATCATTAAAATCGAATGTATTATATATTTCAGACACAAACACTAGTCAAAAACTGTAAATAAAAATCAATCGTGACTGAAGAGGTTATGTCTGCTGCATGTAAAACAGTTTTGGAGGGGAAACTGCCGATGCAGCAGCAACCTTCCACTTAAAAATATTATTGTACAAAACAAATTTCAAAATAAAGACAGATTGGTACAGCATTCAAATGAGGGAGAAGACAAAAATGAGATAACTCACAGGAGCAATGATTATGAAAAATATTTTTATCGGTAATTTCAATCAAATGCACTACATAGAAAGTATTTACAGCTGAGCATGAAATGTTGCTTAGTGATATTTTTTCCGCATCTGCTAATTCAACAAAAAGTTTTAATAATCTACAGTTGTACAATATTTAGTGTAACTGATTTATTGGTAACAAATAGTCATTTTTCTTTCCAATGAAATAAAGACCGATTGTAATAGTTCTTTCTTACTTGCAAGTAGAAATAAATTGGGTTATTAACTATTACGTTTACATGTTTCTTGGATAAAAATTAAAATCTGGTCATATGTGTCCGTTGGGACAGATGAAACACCCCTGCAGAAAATAAATAACGATAATTATTTACTACTTTTAATTTGAATATTTATCATATCTTAAAGCTAAACGTTTAATCGTGTTTATCAGCAAGTTTGATGGAAATTCATTTCGAGACATTGCGTCAGTTGCAACCACTCCCCCGTACCTGTGAAATTGTGTTTCTTTGTGTGGCGCAAGGTGTCGCGTGGAGTAACGAGCGCGTTTGCCTTCTGTTGCAGGACTACAACGTGAATCGGGCGTCGACTATGGCCGAGGGCGGGAGCGGCAGCAGCGGCGCCTCCCCCGAGCCCGGCCCTGCGGGTCCCGCTGGCCCCTCCCCCGCCGGCTCCTCGGCGCACGCCAGCCGCGGCCCGCTGCCGCTGTCGCCGCCCAAGGCGGAGGTGGACGACTCCCCCTTGCAGAAGTCCATGGACAAGAACAAGGAATGTGAGTAGACGAGCGCGAGTTGCATGCGCGCACGCTATTGTGTACGAACTGTCACCACTTAACCAAAGGAAAAATTGCACCACCAATTAATCTAATAAAGACACGCTACCTTACATTGGCTACAACGTGTGTGAAATGCGTTTCGGATGATGCGAGATGCAAATAAACTTCCTGGTGTTTCTGATTTTGAAAGCAATTATCCAACGTGTAGCTATTTGTTAACACTTACGTATTCCAGGTAAGGATTTACGTTTTACAAGACAGCAATGTACGGATATTACATTGTGATGAAAATGGAAATCTTATGACAGACTAGCGTTAACTGCAGCAAATATTCCGTACGTGAGGCCATCGGACGACTTGAAATTCACAGGAAAAGCCTGTTACTAAGTTGGATTGTGGCATCTTGGTAGTTATCTTGAAAACGTCTAAAAATATCATGTATTACAGGGGCGGGTCGAGAGACACATTTTGGGAGGGGAAATTTAAAATGTTTTGTTCGATTGTGTCATATTACATATTTTGTAAAATGTCTCAGGCTACACTCAGCTCATACTGCGATTAGATTTTATTCGTTTTAATGATTTTCCGAAAATATTTTTGCTTGAAAGTGTCGTGACAATTTAAAATTAATCGTTCCTGAAAAATTTTAGGGAGTGAAATTTCCCTCATTTCTCTCCCCGTGGATCCGCGCCTGTGTATAAGAAGAATTGTACATAAAGCAATTCGTGAATGACGGAAGATAGCAGATAGGAGGATGGCAAAAAATGCTTTTGAGTGGCTTTATACCGGCGAATGTGTTAACTGTGTCCCGTCGGCACACAGTAGCGTGTGCAGGTGGCGCGGCGGGGTTCGCTGCTTGACGGCCTGCGCGCCACGTTCGCCCATCTTTCCGGGCGGGCGGGCGGGCGGACGGACGCGCGGCGGCGCCGCTCGCGGAAAGTGCTCGCAGCGAGCGTGCGCACGACCCCGACCCCGCCGCCTCGCGCATCCCAGTCAACGCCCGGCCTCTCGCGCCGGCTGACTCAGTCCTTCGCCGCCCTCCTCGCTGCCACCGCCCACACTTGCCCCACAGACCTCGCCGCCGCGCCACCCTCCCCCATCGCCTGCTTGTGATTGGCGCGGATCCCCATCGATCTCCTCAACTTCGTGTTTTGTTCGTTAGTGTCTTTTCTCTCCGTAGTAGTTCTGTTAAGGCGGGAATTTATTAATTTTTAGGACGTTCAGCAGCCTTCTGTGGTTGCCTTGCGGCTTCAGTAACTAATGGCAGTGCGTTTATCTTCAGTAATGTAATTAAAAGTAACTTTAAAACAGAGCTTAAATCTAATGATTCAATTACTTGAGTGCATTTTCGCATTCCAAAATGTATATTTTCGTACACGTATGTTCTACAAGCCAGTAGTCCATTGCTTTGGTTTGTTTTGCGGATCTTACTTTTGTTGTGATGTCTATAGGCTACTCCATTCTTATTTTATTTACATTGTTTGCTAATCATTTATTCTACCCATTCACTCGAAAGTTTGTGGAACCTCGAATAAAACACTGGAACAAAGAATTCATTACAATATTACTTCGTTATAAAAATACCTTCTCGCTCTGTCATGTGCAAAATTTTGAAACGGGCAATACTTGTTTACAATGAGCACTCCACGGCCCCTCCTTAAAGGACATATTAGTTTATAATGGTTATGCTATACATTTATGTTTGTTTGTTTTCAAAGAACACTGCTAGATAAACATTGATATCTGAAGATGAGATGTTGCGTATGAGAGATTCACTTCGAAGAACTGAGAAAATATCAGATTGCAGTGTGTCTATCAATTGTTGCATCGGCCACACGTCTTACTTTTTGTCGAACAACTCATTTTCAAATTAATAAAAAAAAGTGAATGATGGGATCTAGTGAAACAAAATCCAATGGTAAACTTTCACTTCGCCAAAGCAAAAAAGACACTGAAAACTTGAAATGTTCACGAACATGTAATACTCTCTTCATCGATTTCTCTGAACTTCACAATAATTTTATTCTTGCTTCACACTTCCAACGTCAATGTCCACGTCGCCATAAAGAGAAGTACGTCTTTCGCTAAAAAAAGTGCAGAATTTGCAAGCACAATAATAATAAAGAAAATTAACAAAAAAGGGCATTTGTCGTAACTGTTCATTTGAATATTCGTGCTAAGTTATTTCTTTGTTATTCCTTCCCGCTAAAACCAATCATCAAAATGTTGATTGCATTTTATAATCTAATCGCGCTGCATAATCATCTTCATCTTTAAGAAGTTAATGAAAATGCTCCAACGACTTATTTACCATTTGTTGGACGCTGCTTGGCTGACGCATGACTATGATGCTGCTTTATTGCATTAGCGCACTACGACTCAGATTTGCTGAAAAAGAGAAACTTGATACGGTTTGATTGCTTAGGATGGGTAAGCCCTGTTCTACGACAGCATCGGGCAAAATTGAGAAAAACATTTCAAGGCGTTGACGTTCCGCTTGACATGTCTGAAATAAGAACATTTTGTTATTCTTGATTAGGTTCAATATTAAGTTCACGTCGAGTAGGCTGGCGTATGTTTCAAGAAAGGCGAAATTGCGCTCTTAAAGAATCGCGCAGACGCGTCCGTATCCTTGGAAGATAAGCAGGGTTTACGTGGAGGTGGCCAACGCCGCGGGCGCCTCGAGAACGCGAGTGGAGCGACGGGGCGTTTAAATCCCCTGCGCAGCCGCCACTGGCCAGAGGCCGTCCCCACTTCCGGTGGCAGCGCGCGGTCGCCCTATCCGCCATGCGTACTGATCAGCCCCGCCCCCACCCTGCCTCTCTGCAGGCCGTCGCTGCCGTCACAACACCGCCGCCGCCGCCGCCGCCGCCGGCGGCTCCGCGAGCAGGGCTTGCGGCCCCGCGGGTAGTCCGTCACAATCGTCGGCCCCCGCTGCGACACTGGCCGGCGGCGGTGGCGGTGGCGGTGGTGGCGACGAGGACGGCTGTGGCGGCGGCGCGGTGCGCGGGGCCCGGGCGCCGGCGATCGCCGAGCGCCCTCCGGGGCGGCCCCCTGGGCCCCCGTGCGCGAGGCATGTGCGCGCGCTCCTCCCGCAGGGCGGCCGCCCACGGCGAGGCCGAGTGCGGTTAGTGCGTGCTCCTTCTCCGGAGGGCTGCACCCCGCGTCTGCGGCGGGTGCATGATGTGTGTGTCTGTGAGTGGGAATTCCCCTACCGGCAAGTGCATCGGCGCCTCTTCTGTTGCAGCTCTGAAGGTGAAGCTGATGCTCCGGCGGCCCATCAACCAGTTGGTGGCGCAGGGCATCATGCCACGTGAGTACCCCAGAAGGCCTGTGCTTAAGGCAGCCTCAACCCTAAGCATCTGATAATACTTAAAAATGAGAGAAATATTCGGGAAATTGCACATTTCAGAGACTGTTGAGCTTTATATTCATATTCCAGTTACAGGAAATTATTTGAAATTAGTACACAAAATGTGTTGTCAAAATGTATGTCAACGAGATCATATACCGTCAGTTATATAAAATGTATTGTTTTCTTACTGCTAATGTTTGTTTTATAACTAAGAAGTAAACAATTGTGTCAATCCTGTAATTATATGCATCAGTAGTCCTGTTAAGGCGTGAATGTATTCATTTTTAGGATGTACAGCAGCCTTGATCAGCAGCACTGATCTGATCTTCAAGTCTCTTATTTTATCTGTCATATTTTTAGACACCAATGTATATCTGTTATTGTTTTGAAGAAAATTTTAAAATTATTCAGTGAGAATAAGATTGCCATTCTTGATGCTTTTTTAGAATTGGTTTGAAGGTCCTTTTTTACGCTGAAATTCATTTAATTCATAAAATTTTATTTATTTATTTTTATTTCTAAAGATTGTTAGATTTTAAATAAAAATGTATGAATTGAATGAATGTCTGCCTTGAAAAAAAGACCTTCAATCCAATTCTAAGTTATTTTCTTTGAATTTCTCCTTCAATATTAACATTTGGAAATCAACATCTTACAGCATACATATATAGCCCATAGGCCCATGTCAAATTTTGACTACATTACTATCTCTAGATGGTAAGGGGTGATGGCACACCCAAGGAAAGGATGGGCGCTTTAACCACCTCAGAAGCCATACATATCCAAAATTGAAGGTTTTATCAATTTTCTATATAGTAACAAAAGTCATTCAATGTATCAATTGGTAATGTTATAAATATTAACTCAAAACCAACAAATTACAATACATTTTGTATACAGTATAAAGAAAAAACATTTTGGAAGAAAATATAAAGTCGGCTGGATCTGGGGATGATTATGAATTAATGGCAGTTGTTGATGAGATGGATGGAGCTGTAAAATAACAATCTGTGATAAACACTGATTTGACTACACTATACCTTACAGTGGTTTCAAACCCATTCCCTCTGTATATTGGCTCTGTATACCTTGCTAATTACACTACTTAGACCAGAAAGTAAATTGACTTGCAATACTGAAGAATGACATGTGTCTAAAATAAGTGTTGAAGGCAACCTTACATTTCACCAAAAACAACATACAGGACATTTTAGTGTGGGTTCAATAAGGCTTTAAGAGGGAATGTTTCATTTTTCTTGTCTTGTAAATAATCAAAGTGTTAAATTAAACCATTATAATCATATCCTGTTTTTTTAATAAAACAATAGGAAAAATGACTGCAAAAATATTAATAATTAACCATATTTATGAGAATAAGTATCCATTGTAAAGAGCCTATTTTGAAAAATATTTGCAATATTTTTCTGTAATGTGATTTGATTTTATTCATAAAGTCCAATTGTGTTTATATTCATTGATCAGATCTCAACTTTCTTAATATTTGATCTCTTTGCAAAATATCCCAACAAGATTTTTGTAAATCAATGTACATTAAAAACTTATATTTTAATCAACTGGTGAAATTCGAATTCTTCCTTTAATTCTCTTTCATTCCCAAGTGGGCATTTCCTAATGCTATAGAAAATACTAAATAATTTGGCTAAGAGGAATTCAAAGGTGTAATTTCAGATTTAACAAGATTGCAGTGATGTATTATAAAATATGAAGTCAAAAGTCATTTCCTATTCTCATCTGAGATTGAATTAAAATTTATTCATAGCATGTATGGATTATTATAGGAACATGCTATGAACTGACATTGAATGAGAAATTCTTCCTTATCACTTTTTATATTGAAGGAAGCAACCAGGGTGATATTTAATTTTGCATATATTTATTATTAATGATCTCCATTATAGGACAATTATCCCCCCCCTTCATTTTACATTATTTTTTTCATATTTTGGAATATCCATTTTTAGGTTACTTTGGCAACTTATTGATATGTTTATTGTTTTAAAATTCATCTGTATCAAGAAAGAGATGTTACTTATTCATTGAAATCTTGAAAGCTAAATTCTTTTTAACAGGAAGTTAGGTTAAAATTGTTTATCGGTATTTTTTTGTAAACATCTAATAAATGAAATAAAAATAAATAACTATTATATAATGTTACCTTTGTTTGAAACTGACTAGCTAAAACTCTGCAAAAAGGAATTAAATAATCACAGATTATTGCATTTGTCCTTTACTTCCTTTGTTCTCATCTTTTCAAACTGAAATAATTACTTTACCAAAATCCAACATCACAGAATGCCAACCCATATTGTCAGGACTTAGTGAGAAGAAAGCGTATTTTGATTCACATGTGTAAACTGAAATGCTGTGTTTCTTATTCTTGTAAATTAGTAACACTGAATAAGATTTAAATGTTGAAAACAATTAGCACTTCTCTCTCATGTTCAGCTCTCAAGACACCACCTGCGTTTCATGAACAAAGGCAAAAGTTAGAACGTGCCAAAATGGGTGACTTGTTGAAAGCAAAGATCCAACAACGTCCTGATCGTCAGGAATTAGTACGACAACACATTTTAGAAGGTAGGTATTTTTGGATTTCTCTCTTATAAACACTTGTCACTGAATTTTTCACTAGGTCCTGGGTCTCTTTTTTTCTGAGTATTTTAATTTTTCATAGATGCTTTCATGTAAATTTTTTATGATGGATTATTTCAGAATATCATTTTTAGATTTTTAATAACTCTTTTACCCTGACGATAGAAAAATTTGAAAAACCAAATATCATTACTATCTGAAACAATTTTATTAATATATGACTTAATCCGGATAATTTCATATGAAATAGAAATAGTCCTTATTCCATTATAAATAAAATTTAAATGTTGCATTTTTTGATACTTGCTAATATTCCACAATGGGAGACTTGTGCTTATCAAGCCTGCCTTTTAACATCTGTTACATATACTGAGGCTGCATTAAAAATAATGCAGACACATAAATGTGCCTTTCGTTAGGTATGTACTAGAATTCACATTAACGACATATTATATTCTTGCCTTTTGAGAAAATCTATAATGGCAACCTTTCCTCAATGATCATCTTTTTCTTTCAAAGATATTTTCTGTTTCAGTGTACTAAACAATGTGCATTTTTGAAATGCTCTAATTTATAATTTGGTAGTAATTGAAAAGACGTATTATATGTTTTGGAACCAAGTGATTGTATACTATGAAGAGTGTGATTAAGTACTGTTATTGAACCTGTCTTGTTTTAGATGTTGGACATGTTGATCCATCACTTGCGGAGCGGCAACGAATGCTGAAAAAGGCTCGTCTTGCTGACTCTCTCAACGATCAGCTTTCTCATAGACCAGGCCCTCTTGAACTAATCAAGAAAAATATTTTGCACACTGAAGAACCCATTGAGAGAGCAGTAAAAGGCAAGTATTACTTTATTTGTTTTTTAGTGAAATGCAATATCAAAACTTATTTTATTCATAAATCATATTAATTCTTCTTAAGAAATAAGTTGTTTTCACCTTGTAATTATGGTGATATATATATAGTTTCTGCTGTACAAAGTGCAAAACACCATATATTCCATTTATTCATCGTTACCCAGACCATAAAAGAAATCAGATTTCTTCAACATGTAGTTGAAGTGAACTATTACCTAAGCAAGTAACATATTTCACTGTTTTATGTATTATAATTCAGTGAAAATTGTTCAACTATTAGACATGTAAAAGATTTAAGTGTTTGTCGAGAAGTACTGCTCTTAATATGTGGATTAACATATATTTTGTAATACCTGTTCGTATTTTGTATTATAAGAAGCTTGATTGAATTTCTAGAGTTAAGCAAATTAAATATTGAACATTTTTATTACACAGATCAATTTTAACTTTCAATTTTTTTTATGCAGAGGGTGTTATACCATTCAAAGCAACCAGTGAAGGACAGGTGACCAAGCCACAACATCCCAACAGATATATAACATTTGAAGAAGATTCTCAGAGTTCAGAAGGAGCACAGTCACCTCTGCAAACACAACCATCAACAAGTTTACCTGAAGTGCGATCCCAACCTGATGTGTTGGAAGCTGCTGCGGCCTCAGCAGGTATTGTGACAGTTGCTCTGACCATCCCAACTGCAGGAGGTGCTGTGGTGGTTACATCTGCCACTCCAACCGTGCAACATCAGTCCCTGACTGCATCCCCTGCACATACTGTCAGTGTTAGTGCAACACCAATTGAACCTCAGCCTCCACAGTCATTGACATTTGCGGACTTATGCAGCAGTGTTGTGGGAGGCACAAGCCATGGACTGGCTCCAGCTCCAAGCCCAATGAGTCTTGGTTCTACTACGTCAAGCTTAAGTCCTCTGAGTTCAATTTCAGTGTCATCCCCTCCAGCTCCCCCTACTCCTTCACCGACTGTTACCATTACCCCCAGGCCTGCTCCTCAGCCTTCTCCGATCTCAGTGGTTTCGTCTCACCGATCAGATGCACCTGGGAAAGACAAAAATCGTAAGAAATCTAAAAGTAAGGCACAGCCAAAGACACGGACCATCAAGTTTCATGAATACAAAGGACCACCAAATGCTCACAAATCTGCTCCTATAAATGCTTCCCCTGTGGAAACATCTTATGAACTTCTCCTTCAGCAACAGCAGTTGTTCCTTCAGTGGCAGCTTGAGTGGCAACATAAGGTAAGCTTTCAAGAGTTTTCATCTTTTTGATTAATTTTTTCCTGTGAACATGCTCTAAAGCAGCCAGTTTTGTATTTCCTTTTTCAAAATTTCCTATTATATTATTTGATTTTGAGTGTAGATAAGTTTTCAAATGTGACCCAAACCCTTTAAGGTCTGTGTAATAACTGGAGGTAAAGCAATTGGTTATTTAACATGTAGACCTGTTTCTTTCAATAATTGCTTTATTATTCTTAACATTCAACAAAACATTAATACACACACATACACACACTTCCCTTCAAAATGTTCTGAATTCACCACTACCAAATCACCAAAGTGACTAATGCAGAGAAATATGGAATTGTAATTTTCAATAAATAAGTGGTGCAGAGAAATCTCATTTCACTGAAAGATATTGTAATCAACTGTTGAAAACTCTTCAAATCCTACTTTGGTTATTCTGCATATTTCATAATATTCTCTGAATGATCTTGTTAGTATTACATTTGAAATTTTACTGAATTATGGAGCTCATAATGATGTTGTTGGTTCATTAAGTGAACTTGCAATATTTGAAACTGGGAAAAAATATTACGTATATTTAACATTTTGATAGAATTTGGAATGATACATATAAACAATGTTACTGCATATTTTTCTACTATTTTATAATTTTGTTGCTGTTCCAGTACCCTCAGATCATCTTGCCAGCTTCCCAAAAGCCCCTTGCTGTGAGTTCAGATGCAGGAAATAGCCAACAGCCAACAACACCTGCGTTGTCTGGGCTTATTGCTGTAACTTCCCCTGCGTCAGCACAGCATGCCACTTCTCCAGTGGCTCACAGCCCAGGTGCTGCCCAGCCTGCCACTCCTGCGCCTGCTTTGCCCACTGCACAGCCTTCAGTTCCACAGTCAGCTACTCCAGTTCCAAATCAAGAGTCTTCCACTCCACAGAGCTTTCCCACCTTTAGAACTCTCACAAAGTTGGAAGATATGAAGGGTAAGATTCTAAAAATGTATTTTCTTTACAGAGAACGTTCCAAGAAAGATGAAATTTCTTTTAGAATTGACTCAAAAGAACCCATTTTCAGAAATTGACTACAGTAGAACCCCACTCATCCGACCTCCGCAAATTTAAAATTTTGGAAAATCCAAACAAAATTCGATGAAGTAAATAAACAAAAAGACATCAAGTTGGTTTTAATTTAATTTATGAATGAAAATGCATGAACACAGTGCAAGTCAACCCAGTTCTGAATATTGTACGTAGAATACCTGTAAATAGCAACGACCCACACTGTGCTTCAATTCTTCTAAACAATGTAGTCGCATGGGATCTGTTATGTACGTTCTGTGCTCTATTGTTCGAAACATTTCCACTTCCTCATGACACTACGCTGTTGCCATTTTTTCACATCACATGCTACATTGCATTGTGTCAGGTAATCCTATAGATGTATTTGTATATGTATGGTACATTTGTTCGGATAATTCAAACTTTTCCGAATCCGATCAGACCACACCCCCAGTTAGTTTGAAATACCAAGGTTCTACTGTATTTCAAGATGCTTTTTTCTTGTATATACATCTGTGCCAAATAGAAGATGCCACATGTGTGGGCATTACCGGGAAATCTAATTTAAAGGCTGGAAAAAGAATGATATTCACGCATGTAGTTTCATGAACATATTTTTATGCTAGCATAGTATAAGTCAATTTCTAAGAATAGACATTAGAGGAAGTGAGTCTCTTTTGAGGATTAAATGGAGTAATGTTAATATTTGTGCTACTATGCAGCAGTAGTTAACATTTATTCTAAAAAGGATGCGTATGAATAAACATCAATGATTACATGGTTTAGACATTACACCATATAAAATCATTTGTCTTACCATTTCTTATCTTGTTTTCATTTAGTAAGAAGTTTACAAATTAAATAAGCAAAGCTTCTCAGTAATTCTTAATAACTTTTCAATTGGAGAATGTAGTTTTATAAATTTTTATGAAATATTTTTTTATTACAGAAAATGAATATGCATTAAAGTGATGAAAAGGAAAGATTTTTAGTCTTACATATTATTAATTCATATACTCATTCTTACCACTTACCATTATCCATTATTTATAAAATAAACTTGGGAAATTCAGTGAATTTGAATTTTACTATAATATTAACTTTATTCATGATAGTATGAGGGTCATTTGATTGGTAACTTGGTTTGATATGGAAGATAACAATCTGAGTTTTGTATCTTACCTTATTTTTCAACAAAATTCCTTCAAATTTCAACGTATTTGATCAAGGTTTCTTCAAGGCCCTCAAAAGAGTAATTGACTACCTGGATGGCTTCTTCATTGCTCACAAATTTTTGTCGAGCCGGTATAGTTTTTAATTTTGGGAACAAATCAAAGTCTAAGGGTAGCAAAATCAGGTGAATAGGGCAGATGCAGAAGCAGTTGAAAATGAAGTTCAGTCAATTTCTTCTGAGCAAAATGGTTTGAATGTGCTGGTGCATTATCATGATGGAACAATGCCTTTTTTCTTACCTTTCCAGAACATTTATCTGTGATAGCTGCCTTGAGTTTGCCCCAGAAGAGTTGCATAATAATCTCCTTATAGTTTTTGCCTTTTTGAGGTAGTTTATTAAAAGAATACTTTTGGCATCCCAAAACACTGATGCCATCACCTTCCTCTGCTGATGGGATGCATTTTACCCCTTTTGGAACAGGTTCTCTGCTTGCAATCCATTGTTTTGACTGTTATTTCATTTCCAGAATACATGTTCAAGAATCAATTCATGTGTCACCCATGGTAACAAAACAATGCAAAAAATCTACTGGGGTTGAATAGTTGCAAAATAGTTACTCAGAAGGTGTTTGAATGTGATTTTGTATCGTTTCTGCAGTGAGCAGTCATGGCTCCCATCATGCACGAAGCTTGTTCATACTCAATGCATTAGGCAAAATAATATGCACACGGTCAATTGATGTACCTGTGGCATCCTGCTAACTATCACTCGCCGATCGAACAAAATAATATCGTAGACTGTCAATTTTTGCTGGTGTCAGTAGATTTTGGAGTCCCAAATCTTGGAATGTCTTGGTTCTTGTCCTGCCTCACTTAGATTTGTTGACCCAATATCTCACCATCTCACAGAAAGAAAATGAATCGCCCAGTGTTACATGGATTTCATTTTCATTTTCCCCCTTTCATAAAAAAGAATTGAATAACACCACGAATTCCAATTATATCCATCTTTCACTTTGATTCTCTTATCATTCTCTTATTCTCTCTCTCAAAATAATGAAGCGTCAAATTTATATACATAAATGTTGATGTGGTCATCTCTTAGTTTGTAAACCAAGTTACTTATCAAATGATCTCCATACAGAGAATATTTTTAATATTGTGTTTTTAATTTTTATAAGCACCAATATGCAAATTTTAAATCAATGCATCTCTTTGCTAATTATAAAATAATCTAATCTAGCATACTGTTAATATTTGATGATTATGGACAGTCAAATATTTATTTGCAACTCATGTTTTGTAATTCACCATTGTTATCTAGAAATAAATAGATTTATTGGTTAAATGTCAAAATATAATCAAAACAGTAGTTTTAACCAATCAATAAATACTTTTGATAATTTTTACCGTTTGTTTATTTAATAATTTCATTATCTTTTCTAATTCATGTTTGAGTGTGTGGTGTTAATCTGAATACAATTTTTTTGCACTGAGTGATTCACATAAATTTCCCTTTGTTAGTTAGTCACTTGTTTTTTAAGTCTTGCACATTGTTGAGTAGTGACTCTTATTGAGTTTTGTGTGATTTGATTGTTCCTCCCCTTTGTTAATGTGTGTGTTAATCTCGGTGGCAGTGAGTGACCTCAAAGCCGAGCTCAAGCGTCGCAACTTGCCCGTGTCTGGTTCGAAGCCCCAGCTGATAGAACGCCTCAAGCCTTACAGTGATGCATCTCATCAGCACGACAGCCAAAACAACCAAAACAGCCAAAACAACCAAACAACAACCATTCCAATGAGCCATATGGGACACATAATCATGGACACCCATGGTTCAGTCATGAATGAAGAGTCTCTCCCTGGTAAGGCTTGGGGTGAAGTCGATGCATGTTACTTCAAAATGCATGAATTATCCGTTTGCTTAATTCACCTCATCCAAGACAGTATATTTTTTCAGGCCACTGCAGATTATTCTTTAAATTGAAATTGAGAATTGTCTTAAAAACAGCATGACATAAGTCCTATCCTATAATTGACAAATAATTTTCAGTCATAAGTTATTTCTCATATCATCTTACAGCATGATTTTCAGTTTCCTCGTATGTTACAGTTATTTCTTTAAATGCTTGTTTGTTTATTTTTAGGGGATACTCCTGTATCACCACCTTCACAACAAATGTCTTTAACTGTGGAGAATTCTATTGGGGAAGATGATGTGAGCCTGCCAAACCTATCGCCTAGCTCAGAGCAGCAACAGCTTTCTCCACTTTCACCCACTATGTCTCCTGATGGAACAGCAGATATGGAAATGGATACAAGTGATGGAAACCTAGCTGCATCTACTTTGAATTCACCAGCAGCTCAGTCTTCTCCTCCTCCACAACCTCCATCTCCAGCTCAGGGTCAGATTCCCATGAGTGAAGATATTATTAGAGATCAACAACGGAAAATTGAAGAGTTGCAGCGAGAACTCCTTCGTTCACAGTTACAGTTAAAGAAGATTAGAAGTAAAGAATTAAACACATGCTCACCAGTTCCTCAAATTGCACAGAAGAATGCTGTGCCCCATCATAAACTTCTCTCTGCAGGGATGACTGTGAATACAACCCCAAATGGGATTGTTATTGGTTCTGATCTTACCCCTAAGCAACATCAAAAAATGATCCTGCAGCAGCATATACAACAAAAGAAACAACAGCAGCAGTTGCAGCAACAAATCCAAGCTTTGCAACAACAGCAACTTCAACAACCTCAGCAGCCAAAACAAACAGCTACTTTTCAACAACAGCAGCCCCAGCAGCAGCAGCAGCAGCAGCAGCAGTCACAACCCCAGCAACAGCAACTAGAAGCTCAGCAAAAACAGTCAACACAACAGCAGCAACAACAGCCACAGCAAGCATCTCCGCAACAGTCACACTGCCCTCTTCAAAGTCCAACGGTATGTTATTATTTTAAACCGAGAAAAACAATATTTTGGGGTCCCTATTTATATCATTATCTATATTTATTTATTTAATTTTTTAGGGTTTGAGTGCCAAAGCAAGTTTGGCTGCTTTTCTTCAGAATCAAAGCCAGCAGAATCAGCAGCTAACAAATTTGCTGCATCAACAGAATGTTGCATCTAACAATAAAAATAATAATTGTCCTATGGCATCAAATAATAAGAAAAACATGGCTGGTAAAAGTATTGTTCTTGGTCAACAACAAGCTGCTATTGTATTAAATCAACTCAATCTTCAAAAACAGAAAACTGCTGCACCAAATGGTGTAGTGGGGCACCAAAGGTAAGAGTCTTTTTACCTTGAATGCATATTTTGAGAAATTGGCTATGCTATGAAGTTAGAAATGGCAGAGAATAACATACACAGTGTAGTGACATTGACCAGTTACGTCTGTCAGTGTATTTTTACTAATATTCAGGGCTTGATTTCTGGCAAAACGTGACAGAATGGCGTTCCGGTACCATGGGAACAATCATTAAATTATATTATGAATATATAACTATTTCTATTAAATTAATGATTAATTTTGGGGTGCATTCCGGGACCTAAAATTTTATAAATCAAACGCTGGCCACTTTACACTCTAAGTACAAGATATAATTGCTTACGAAGTGCGGTGCATTCTCAGAAATGTTTTGTAATTCAGACACAGGTTAATTTAATACAGTAAATATTTAACAAATATGTAACAAAATTTTGCAGGTCATCATTTTTTTTCATTCCTCATTGTGGGCTGTTAATTGTTTAAGAGATCTTTGACTTTCTCATTTAAAACTATATAGTAAGAGAAAGTTAAGTAATGCTGAAGGAAAAGATCTGATTTTTGGAAAAATAACTGGATACTGAAAAAGTGTTGCCTATGTCAAAAGAGTTAAATATTTGCTTGAAAATTCAGAGACTACTAATGACAATCTCTGATTTTTTTATGCTCACATTTGTTATATGTACATTAAATTTTTGTTAAAGTTGCATTTCTGTTGTTTCACAGGACATCATCTCTTCCCAACTTTATTGGTTCTTTCCTTAATCATCAGCAGCAGCAAGCACAATCATCAGTACAGGCTTCACCACCCTCCGATGATAACCAAAAGCCAACAACTGATGCGATTCCTCGTATAACTAATGAAACTCTTCTCATCCCTAAACCACCACCACAATATGAAGAGGCTACAAAGCAGCTAAAAGTGAAACAGGTGTGTATATGAAAAGCATTATATGGCATAATTTTTTATCTTGTATCTTCTATCTTCCTTTTCTTTTCTGGTGCTTTGTTGCATCTCAGAATTATTAATACGCTTTTAAACAACCTGTAGACTCCAACTCCATTCTGTAACTACTCTATTTTGGCTTATTATCTACATACCAAAATCTTTCGTTCATTACTTTGTCATTTTATACTGTGCAAATATTGCAGTGCAAGAAAAAAAGGGGTCAACTGAAAAGACCTGGCAAATTAAAACACATACAATTTATTTTGTCACATAATAAGGCTGAATTTAGAATGCAATATTTCAGGAAGGCACTGCTAAATCATCCTTAACAGCAAGTAGAATGGGAAAGATTTCTTCAGTCCATTGTGGGAAGACATGACTATGCCTTCCTCAAAATAATGTAAAAATAAATGTCCTTGTTGCCCAGGTTGTAATCAATTGCAAGTCTCTAAATACCATTCCTTTCTGCTATACTCAGGTTTCCAATATACAGATGTGATTCTTCTTTTTCATATTCTACTCTCTATAGAGAAAGTATTGTAATGCTGCAGGGACAAAGTGCCAAGTTTTTGACAGAAAACACGGGTTTTGTGGGTCTCTGTACATTTACCAGTGCAGGTATCTGATTCTGTAATAGTGTTTTTTCATGCTCTCATCTCATATTTTTTCTTGATAAATTTGTTGAAATGTTCAAAGTCTTTGCACTATTTTGAGAGAAATTGTGATCCCCCAAAAATGTAAAAAGATTTCCTTAAATACAGTTAAAAATGTTTCTTTTGTAAGAATTGAGCAAAATTTGATTGATAATATGACAGAAGTCTGTTTCCATTAAAACCTCTAAAAAAATTGAAAAATGCAAAAGTTCAACTTTCATTTTTACACATCGGAGGGTATTGTTATACAGAAGCAGTACTTGGTCAAGTAGTAGGGAAAACTGTTTGCTTGCAGAGCCTGTGCACCGAGATTTGAATCTTAACCCAGGCAAATATTTTTACAGATAGGAAACACTTTGACAGGGTCAATTAGAATTATAATATTTTATAACCATTTCAAATAATACAAGAAAGTACCACTAGTTTGTGTATGAAACCATCCCATTTTGAGATTTTTGGTTTTCTTCTTACAGAGGTTTTATCATAGACAGGTTGTAATCTACTTGTCAATCTAAAGGATTTTCACATTCACTATTCTGTGAATTCTTCCTTCTATTAACTATGTAAAACACGTACCTAAAAGTATTAGTAATCACATTATTACTTTACTTCTTCTAATATTACTTAATTTTACAGGTAATGCAAATTAAACTAAAACAAAACTTACACATTCCACCAATATGTTGTGTATTGATTATATGTGGCAAAGATAATAATATGTTAATTTTAATTATTCAGTAATTAAGTTGATGTAATTTTATAATAATTTTAATTTTGTAAATTCATTGTCTTATAGAAAAATTTGTAATAAACATCTTTTGAAATGGAACATTGTGAGTTTGGTTCTCATGTTTAGTGTATCTTCTGTTTAGGAAATTCCATCTGATTGTGCTACAAAAGCCAACATACGGCCGAAGAATGTGAAGAGTCAAATGATGGATGATGTGTTGGAGATCCTCATAAAAAATGGAGAACTTCCTCCTAGTGCTGCTCAAGATCCTGCAACACCAACTACTCCTGGTCGATCTCTTCCTCATGGTCTCATTTTCACAACATCTGCAACTGCAACCACAACTACAACTACAACATCTACTGTTAATGGCCCAGTGGATACTATGGTTGCATCTCCACCTGCACCACCACCTCCACCCCCACCCCCTCTGCCTCACACAACATTTGCAATTACTCTTCCGACATCCATTACATTAACATCCCAGCAAGATAACCATGAGTCAAACACTGCACCTTTCCAGATGCAATTTACTGGAACCGACACATTTGAATTTTTACTCGGTGGCGGTGAAACAAGTGCAAATAGCAGGTCACAAACTCAAGATACAAATCCTGGGCCCGCTCTTACGAGTGATTTGCCACCACCTTCTGGGATTGATTTGAAAGAGTTGGGACTGGACTTAGAAACTCTTGATTCTATGGATTTTGGTAATTTTGGTGATTTATGTGCACCTGTAAAGATGCCTTCACCAAATCATTTATTGGAAACTGTGACTGATATGGAGATTGGGGGTTCAGGAGATCCTGTTAACGATCAGATCATTACACCAAAAGAAGAGATGCTTCATGATCAGTTGATGAACCAGCAAACCTGTGAATTCATGGATATAGGAGAAATGCCCATGGACATGGATGATCCTGATTGGCTGGAGTCTTTGATGCCCACTGATCAAAATGCAAATGGCAATGTTGAAAGTACTTCTGTCATGACTCCTCCACATCAAAGTGCATTCACTATTCCACCATCTACTGGAAGCAATTATCATTTCAGTCATAATAATGTTGATTTGGATTCATATGACCCTTTGTTATCCAATAGTCAAGACCCATTTGATTTATTTAATATTGAAGACCCTGACTTCAAAATGTCTGCAGACTTAAATGCTCTTGGGTGGGACAAAGTGGATTTTGCTACTTAGCAGAAAATTGATTCCCTAGTGGTATTTTGTAGAGATGACTTTTTCTCTTGCTCTCTTCATGCTACCATGAAATCAGCTCTCATAGAGCTGGTATGATTTGAAGACTAAACAAATTATGTTGTGAACAGCAGTGAAAAGTGACTTTACTTTACTTGGTGGTTCACAGCTAATGTTTTAAAGTGGGAAGCAGTTTGTTTCTTGCAAGATACTTGAGGATAATTTGCTTCGCAAAGTTTGTGTTTACATTAATGGGCAGTATAGACATTTGTGTAAATATGCATGAATTTGCTTTGTGTGAACATTTGAATACATATACCTGTATGTACTTCACAATATATATCTGCCCAGCCATCGTGTGCGAATGGAAAAAGAAAATGCAAAGTAGGTCAAAGAGAAAAGGGAAATAATTTTGAGTTTTCAGTCAAAATAGTAATTTTGCAACCCTACATTGTTGCAGAATGATACCATATTTGGTCATTTCAGAGGTGTATGTGAATTGTTTGTTGTACGCCAGATATAAAATTTAAAATGTATTTTTTGCGCCCACTTCATTTTCCTATGAAGAGGCCATGAGAACCTTTGATTTTAAACTTTCTTGAAAATTAAGCATGAAAATAGAGAAGACACCTCTTTTTACAAGCAAGTGCCTTAGATATCAAAGAAAAAGGATAGGTGGATTTTATTTCCTTTAAGCAAAACCACTGCCTCTTGAAGATGATTCAACTGCATTAATTTGCCTTGGACCATCAGGTAATGGATAATGAGCAAAATTATGCAAGGACCATAAAGACAAGGATATTATAAATATGAAGGACCAGTCTACGTAAAACAGTGAGTTTACGTAATTAGATTGTAAGTCATTCAGGGCATGTGTCCTTTTTATTATTATTTTCCCTTCAATATACATTTCTTTTGCCTTGAAAAGTTTTCCCTGCAACTTTTGAGACAAATTATCTAAGGCTACATAGTCTCTAAAATATGTACTATGTATCGTCAAAGTACTTAACCATATAATGTGTAGTTTAGATTTATACTTTTCCAAGCTGAAAAACAAAAGATATTTCCAAATAATGTTTATATTACTACAGATATCCTGTTGTAGACATGCCAGTCTCTCTGCTTTATGCAGTTTGTAGCTTTTATCATATGAATTTCATGTATACAGCCAAAATATGTACGTATCTTACAAATTTTAAGTTACAAAGAAATTGTAAACGTATCTTATAAATTTTATGTATACATACACATTTTGATAACTATAATGAAGCAGAAAGTACACATGTATTTCTGGTACTTAACACACTCATATTGTGATGATAGAAAGGCTTTCCATTACTTGCTTCCAGTTTAATCAAGAAATGACTTTGTTGATTTTTGGTGAAATTTGAACTCTTTTGTAGTGAATGTGTACATGTTTCTTGAATGTGTGTGTGTATGAAATTGTATAATATGAAAATGAATGTTTATATGTTCAAGTATGTATGCATAGGTGCAATTGAAAATGCATAAATGTATACATATATTTGTCATTAATGTGCAGTATTGTTGAAAAATGTATATATCTACTGCCTGTGCATGTATTTGCTCCAGAATATGGTGCAAAACAGGAGATTGTGATGTCTGTTGAAAGTATTACTGTTGTATTACTTTCAGTGTGGAAATGATTTATTGTCATCATCTGCAATGTCAACAGACTATGAAGATATGTATTCTTCAGTTTTTAATAAATGGTACTGCCCATATGTACATCTCAGCATGTGAATGATGAATGCTTGTGGGGTTTCAGTTGAAAAAGATACATTCTAACTATCACTCCACATATACAAGTGGAGAATGTGAGGAATAAATTTCTAGAAGCAGAGAAAAGATTATTGTGTCAGAGAAAAAGAATGGAAGAAACCTGAGTGTATTTGTATGTGAAAATTTCCTGGTACACTTCGTAAAGTGTTATCCATGCTACTAGTTTCTAATGGGTTTCGTGTGTATGTGTGCATGGTATGATTTCTTAAAATACCATGTATGACATGTACAAATTGCAAAAGATTGGTGCTCAAATCTTTTTTGATGTTTAAAATATACTAATACAATCACCATCGGTGCGTTTTAGTGAAAATTAATATTACCGTTACTAATAATCATTTTGAATGTGTTCACATGCATTAATTACTAAACATCATGTTTAGTATGCTTCAACAACTAATTCAAGGCATAACTGAACAACTTCATTAAAGAGAGATTTTATGAAAACTCATTGAAGTAGTTGTGATCTTATTTAGGGTAACACAACATGAGGACCCAAAATATTTTTGCATGCAACTCACTAGGGATGTGTGTATATTATATCTTCAATTTAATGTTGCTTTGTGTTTTAGTTGCTGTATCTGCTGCTTAAACACACATACACACATTTACTCAACACTTTGTAGATAAGAAATAAGATTGACATCTTGTCTGTTTCTTAACAAAACAGAGAATTATTCTGTATGATAGTGTAGTTATTGATGAAAGAAGGAAGGAAGTTGTCTTGATTTTTAAATAGCCTAATCCTTGAATCAGTTTGTATGCTGTTTTGGTTATTGATTTTATTTTACAGTTTTGTTTGTTTTAGTGACATTCCATGTACAAAAATGAAAGCTTTCTAGTGGACCTGCTATGATTTATTTTAGTGCAATTATTGGGCAGGCTGATGACTTGCTCTAGTCTCTGGTGCTGTGCAAAAAATTACACATTTCTGTCAGAGGACAATGGTAATTTATATCAATAGTAATTTATAATTATAATAATTGGACCATTAATATTACTAAATTACCTCTCTACAAACATTTTATTATGTACTGAAAAATATTTACAATTTGTATAATGTTGTCCATGCCTAGTTCATTTTTTACTATATTTAGTGTTTCTGTTCAGCATGATTATGTTCATATTGTTAATAATAATTGTTACCTTAATTATTAATAAACGAATCAACTTCTGATACTCTGTTTTAGACTGGTTGTACATGTATCAATTGCATACACATTCCAGAAATGAAACTATATCAAAACCAAGCAACCAGAAAATCCTATGTTTTCCAATATTGTTTTGTTATATTTGTGTAGCCTTAGTCCTTTTTATTTCTTAACTTTCTGTCTATTTACCTATATCTGTGTGTTCTTGTATCTTGGTGCTGCTCCAGTAGCTATTACCTATCCTGTGGTCATCAGTCTGTCCAAATAGTGTTCTTATTGTATATTACGTTGCATGTTTAAAGAACCCTGACTGGAACAAACAGAACTCAGATTTAGAAGTTGATGTGGCAACTTTTATTTCTTTTCAAAATGACTTCTATTGTAAAATTCAGTTTAAAACTTCAAAACACGGGCTTTACTATCAAAATAGCGTGCTCAGCAGTATTTCTGATATTTGTAAATACTGCATTTCACATATGCATCTCTTCATTTTCGTAAGACATAGGTTACATGAAAATTGACAGCTCTACATTATGTGTTGTATTATCATGTGTGAAATACCAAAAATATCTTGTATATGATAAAATTGTGAATATTGCAGAATGAAAAATATTTGTGTATGAAAGACAGTTTTCATTCTTCAGCTCTCTTTGTAGAATTGTTTACAAAATTGTTAGGTATTGTATTTAAAATCATGATGGACTTACAATGTAAATAAATTCCAGAAGCTGAAATTGAGCATGAGGTAATTAAACTTTGCCGTGTACATTGTATTTTGAGATTTGGCTTGTAGTATAATGGTTGTTTATTTTGATTCTTCTGTATCTACAATGAGTACCTGGGTTCCAGGTTTCTATCTAAAAAGTCGCTTTTTGTTTGCTTGCTTGCTGACGTGCTTGATTGTCGTATGTTTGTGAACAAGGCTATTTTTCAAGATATTGATCAAATTAATGCAGGCCAATGAAAATGTAAAAATATTTTCCCAATTATACATATTGAGAAAATGCTCATAATTTATTCCATATTTATAATGAAATTTGGTAAATGGAATTCTTATACAATTTGGTGTTATATTTTACAAAACTACACTATTTGATGTTCATGACCCTGCAAAATACAATGCATCATTCTTAATCAAAAGTACCTAATATCTAAGGTATGTGAATTTCATTCATTTTCAAAAACTAATTTCAAAGTCAGAAAAAATAAGATGTATAATTTACTTTTGAATTGTTTTTATATCGTAAGAGATTCTCAAAGATGAAGTGACTTAATACTGTAGTTTTAATTTTACTATAGAATATGTAAATATATAATGACAGTAACTGCATTGCACAGAAGATGAATACTTATTTTGACAGTAAATTCCAAGATTTCCCTGAATATATGTTTTAAACTTTTATTCTATCCTCAAAATTGTGGTCTGAAAAAAAAAGTTTTTTCGTATTTTTGTCAAGGAACTATTTCTCTGTGCAATTGATTGTAAAGGTGTGACGTAATTGTAAATATGCTGTTGAAATGAGACCCTTGTAATTTGGGTTTGAATGTGGTAAACTGAAATAAAAACACACACACACATTACCTTTAGTTTTTATGAGACATTTTTTGGAATTCTCCTTATACCATAATGCCTTGACCTAATTAGAACAGAAATGAATAAAGTATAGCTCTATTGAGAAAATAAAAAATAAAAATGGAAAAAAGTCAATTCAAAAAAATTCGAAATTGGTCATGTTATAATCTGTGTGAAACAAAATAAATAGTAGTCCTCCAGGATTAGAGGGGCTCAACTTGAATGAACAGTGAGGGGCAAGTCAACACATCAGGGGTTTTTGCACATTATTTCATATTGAAGGAAAGTCAGTAACATTTTGTTGAATCCGATTATTGTCAATGAACCTATGCAGTGTAAATTAACACTAGCTAGTCAGGGATGTTGTCCTAACAACAAAGATAGGGAGCAGTGAAAATGACATCATCGAGAAACTGGACATGTTAATTGATTTTGAGGAACCTAAATAGTAATGAATGTCTTAGAGTATATATGAGTTTATAAAATATTTTTATTTTTAACTAATAAGTTATTGTTTCTGATGCAGAGCTAGATATACTCTGGATAACTTGTGGGGACCGAGAGGATCGTGGTTACAAGGGAAATATGGAAACGGCGGAATAATGCTACATTTCCTCTTTTGAAGGGAATTATGGGTTGTTAATATAAAAAGACAAACTTAGTCACGTTATCATGTATTAATTAGTAAATCTGAATTATTAAAATTAGGTAAAAAATTAAGAGATTTATCAAAGAAATGAAAGGCAGTAAAGCTCCAGGTCCAGGAGAAATCACAAGCGAACTGATAAAGAACGGAACACCAAAGCTAGTGCGAATGATGACGAAGTTAATGAATATGTGTATAAATAAAGGTGATATACCAGAAGATTGGAAAATGGCTTATATAACACCAATATATAAGAAACGAAGGAAAGACATGTGTGAAAATTATAAAGGGATAGCAGTGACAATCACGTTCAGTAAGGTATATGGAAGAATATTAAGAGAATTAATAGAAGATGGATATAAGGAGTACGAAGAGAAGAACAAAGTGGTTTTAGGGCAGGCCGATCTTGCTTAGATAACCTGTTTAGCCAATCCCAGGTGATGCAAAAGAAATAACAAACTGGGAGAGAACTTCACATGGTCGTCCTTGATATAGCAAAGGCTTATGATTGTGTGCCAGTAATAAAGTTATGATTAAAAGTAACGTAAATAAAATCTTAATAAACGCGGTGAAGAAATTGTATATACATAAAAAGGGAAAAGTAAAAGTTGGAAAAGAGATGACACAATCATTTCCTATATCAAAAGGACTACAACAAGAATGCTGTTTGTCACCTACTCTCTTTAAAATGTATGTTAATGCGGTGTTACAGGTATGGAAAAGAAAATGTGCTGGGATGGGAAAGCACTTGATGATAATGCAACACTCTATACCCTACAGTTCGCTGATGATCAGGTGCTGATGGCGCAAGAACAAGAAGATATTGAATATATGACTAGGAAGATAAAAGGTTATGAGAAATGGGGAATAAGCCTCAACCTAGAAAAAACAGTAAACTTGACTCTAGGCAGTACACATGATGTATTGACTATGGAATAATAAGAACAAAAGAGGACATAAAGTACTTAGGAATAACAATAGGAAAACAGGGTTTTTATGGAAAGGAATGTGAAACCTGACTCATTACAGGAAGACAAATTTTAGAAACCCTGAATTCAGTTATCTGGGATCCAAATATAAGCAAGAAAACGAAAATTAGAATATATAAATATATGATTGAAAGTGTTACATTGAATGGAGCAGAAATATGGCAGCTTCCAGAACAACAGAAAAGAAAATTGAGAGCTTTGGAAATGGATTTCCTCAGAAGAGCTACAGCAATATCTAGAAGGGAAAGAATAAGGAATGAACTGGTTAAAGAAATAATGAATCTGCAACATTATATTATAGAGGAAATTGAAAATCCCACCAACAATCACCAACAATCCAATTAAAGAAACAACTCACTTGGTGTGGGCATGTACAGCGAATGGATGAGAGAAGACTCCCCAGAAGATCCTTAGAATGGCAACCAAGTGAAAGAAAAAGTGGCAGACCCAGACCACGATAGAATGACCAGATCAAAAAGATAATCGAGAAGTGGATATTACCTCCTGATTCCTGGAAGAACAGGGAAGACTGGAGAAGAAGATTCTGCACCGGAAGACTGAAGTAGTGGCCAAGGAAATGGCATGAAAAAGAGAAGAAGAAGAAGAAGAAGAAGAAGAAGAAGAAGAAGAAGAAGAAGGTAAAAAATAAAATCTTGTAAGTACCATGGGCATTAACCATGTAAGTACCATGGTTCTAATAATCTCAGGCAACAAAAAGCCCTTAGGCCAAAGGCCCTTGAGCTTTTTATCACCGCTTGATCATTAGAACCCTTATAACACCCTTGGTACATAAATAACTATAACTCAAAATATGAACCCTCTATGTATATGCTAAGGCAAGATAATGCATTTTTACTATTTAGAAGAAATTATTTACACAAAATTCTGTAACTACTACTGCTGAATAGGGACACCCTAAACCTGCACCAAAAAGCCTTAAGATGAAGAAAACAGATAATGTAGGGAACAGATTACTGTAACAAATATTAAGCATAATTATGCATGATTATGCATTTGGAAACAATGCATTTTTGGCTCTTACAACCAGGCTTTTGTCCCCCTTCAGGGACACAAGATTTTTTGGGGGCAAGGCAAAATTACTGCTTCCATCATTCTAGTGTTATGAACTTGATTAGAAAAAGTTAAAATAATTGGGGTAATGCCAGATTTAGGGGCCCACTGTCATGGGAATAACAATCAGTTTTAAGAAAAGAAAACATGAATGTACATTTCGAAAATACTTACATACATCTCAATAAAAAAGTAAAGGGCCGGTCAAGATGGCTGAGATCGTAAGTGCAATAGTACCATAGCGATCTCAAACCAGAAGACCGCAGGTTCGAGACCCACCTCGGGCATGGGTGTATTTGTGTATGTCTATATGTGTGTGCCATCCTTTCGTCCTTTATCATCTCATCATCCATACCCCCAGGGTTAACAACCTTGGGCGATAAAAATCTGGATTCAACTAATATGCTGATCCCCCCAGGTAAAGGTACTTGCACCTGGTGAAGCAGGATGCATGCGTGGTCTAAGTTGGCCTATAGGAGGAAAAAACAACAACAAAAAAATATAATATAAACCTACATAAAGCAACAGTGTTGTAGACTCCTATGAGGTAAGTAATGGAACCTCTCTCCTACTATAAGTCTATGCTGCATAGACTGCTCTCAAAAAAATGTTAAAACCTAACAACTACATTTTATTTTAGAGCTTAATACTTATTCCATTATTAATATTCTTCTGAACTCCTTAACAGCCTGCGTTCTCATTTGAGGAAGAACATTATTTGCGTGTTATTTTAATTGTGTAAATAATAATTTTAGTGTAAATGATGTTTCTTTCCTTACATTGTATTTGGACTGGCAATTGTTGCTGAAAGGTGTAACGAGTATTTGTGTGATAATTGTCAATTTTCAAATATTGTTGTGGGAAACTTACATGTCCTGAAAAGAGGACGCAGGATGCTCAGTGCTATTACAGCATGTCTTCCTTGAACAGAAACGTACTCTAGTTCTAGTCAACTTTTCTGTCAATTCACATCAATATAACTGTGACTGCTGTATAGAGAATTGAATAAACGACTATATAAAAGTAAGTCCCCCTGATGTACAAAGGAACGTCTGGGTAAAATAATTGTTCCAGCTGATAGACCAGTTGGAGGTTAATTTTACCTGGAAAACGGACATAAAAACTTTTTATTTTGGTATGTTGTATGTACCCAGGCACTAGTTAAAACTCAAGTTTTTGACCTCCCAGCCCCTGTGCTAACTCTGTGAGGCCCAAACAATCGGAATTTTTCCTGACTTCTTTCGGTTTTTCCTCTATAGCTCTTTAACCTTAAATCCTGTAGAAAAATGATTCTATTCAATTTTAAAGTGGATAAAATTTCTTACAACTTTCATGTAATGTTTTTTTGTTTTTTTTAAATCCAGGTGAGCTACAGCTTATAAAACGCATTTTTTTCATTTTCTCAAAAAGTGTGCAAAAATATAGTATATGTTTGTGATAATATAATCAACCAATAACATATATAATAATTATTACACAAAATATAATATTATGGCTATCAGTTGGTGTTTACATTGTCCCATAAATGTGCTCATTGCCAAAAATATTAATATACAAAAAGAGAGTATATGTGTGTGTTTGTGCCAGCTTAAATCTTCAATGCGGGAACAATGTAATTTCACCAAAACTTGGTACACATCGTTACTGTGGAATTAAAATGGGAAAAAAATACACTCGGGGATAAGACACTCCTAGATGGGTGGTTGGGGAAGAAGTGACATTTTAAAAAAATAATCCGCAATACATACATGTGTGACGTCATGGATACAGCGAACACAGACACTTTCATATAACAAATATATTTATTACAAATAAAACAAAACAAATATATACACTTAATTTCCTTCTTACACCCCAGCTCTGATAGACCTACTATCCCCTGATCGCGGGAGCGATCCAAACCCGATTGATGATCGGCTTCGATGGTGGCATCAGAGAGTATATTACGCATTGGTGGCATTCGCCACTCCTACTTCTGAAGCGCGCACAAAGCCTAGCTTCCGTGACCGGATGTCACACTGGGACACAAAGTCCGTACTGGCGTACCAACTGATGGTTTGCCTTGATCGCAGGAGCGATCCTACCCGATTGAGAATCGGCGTGAATCGTGGTACTCAACCACTCCTCACTTCGGAGCACGTACACAGCATCGCTCCCACGTGACCCCCACCGCTGTAATAATGCTAACAATTAAAAAGGGTTTGGGTCTCCGTTTCTCAAGACCGGAAGACCCCAAAGCCCTGTGTCTCCCGTTTCCGCGTTCTTGCTTTACGGAAAAACCCTTCTCTCCTTCCTGTGGCGAGG